TCTACCAAGCTGAGCCTTGTGTCCTTTACAAATTACCCCTCAAGCCTTAGAGTGCTTCGTTAATCTTGTCATAACCACATATTCCAGTCTCACTTTGTATTTTCTTTGCCCCAGCCCTGGGAGAAGCCATTTTTGTATGGAGACCTTTGTTCCTTAGGGGCTGCTGTTAGGACGTTATGGGGAGTTTTATGAAAGCTCCCCAGGTGCTTTCAGGGTACAGCCAAGATTGAGAGCCACTGGTTAGTGTCCTCCAAAGGGAGACCACTTGTTCCCAACAAGGTATTTTCCTGTTCTCACGTGTAATTAGTGGCTCTGATTCGTTGTTGAGGTTTAGATTTTTGTGGGCAGTGTCACTTGCGGAGTCAGGTTTAAATGCAGGTCCCTGGCCTCAACCTCAGAGAGTGCAGTTCCGTAGGTCTGCCTTGCAGGTCAACATTCTGACCCAGGTGGACCCCAGGCCATGTCTGGAGAAAATGCCAGAAGTAACCCTGAGAATTAGGGGCTTCTTCTGATGTTCCTCTTTGATTTTATAAATGTTTTCTCTTTTGTAAAATGACATCAGGATACTGCTGTATTTCCTAGGCATGTGGTGAGGCTCCATTTGATTAATTTAGTGAGTTTCTTGGAAATATCAGCCCTCTTAGTTATACTCTTGTTCTGTCAAGGAGGATGTGGGATGAAAAAAAAAAAATAGTCTGTATGTGTTGAAACTTTTCAGTGTACCCAAAGGTTTTTCTCAAGCGCTGCACTATTTGTTGTTAAATTTTTGTGGTCATTGAATGAATTGACCTAGTAAAGTTTTCACATGTTGTAAGACCCCGGAAGGCTCTAAAATATAGATGTGTGTGCTGTTTCTGAGGCTGGGTCATGGCGTCCTTTGCAGTTTCTGCTATTTCATTTTTAGAGAATGTCAGTATATGACATTTCCTCCCCATCCAACCAGCTTTATTTCATTAAAATATGGGCCCCATTTGCCAGCAGCTGTAAGGAAACACTCCTGATTTGTGGTTTGTCACTTCCTGGTTTCACAACTTAACCATGTCCCATGTTAGTCCAGCTAGTCCCTTCTGCAGTCTCAAGACTCATAGCCGAGGATTCTTCGTAAGAACAGTCAGACAGGGGAGGCAGTCTCTGGAGTTGCATCTCCTGACTTGAAATCCCTGACCCTTCTAGCACTTTCTAGCTGTAAGACCTCTGGTAAAATACTCAGTCTCTTTGTGCCTCCTCCGTCTCCTTGTCTGTAAAAGGGCGGGTCCAAGATCTACCCTCTACGTTCAATGTGAGAATTAAATGCACTAATGCGTATAAAGTCCTTAGTAGTCTCTGGCACACAGTAGGTCTCAGTAAATGTTAGCTGTTACTATTTTATTAAACAAAGCTGGTCATGAATGGAAGGTGGTTATGAGATCTAATGAGGGAGTTGAGGGTGCCTGCCTTGTCACCTGTGTTTGCCTATGTTCCTCTTTATGAATGCATGTTCATGCATGTGTATTTTGTGGCCGTCATACAATATGGCAGTAGAGAGACGTGTCAAGTATGCCTTATGAAGTCTGCCTCAGTCATACTTGTTTTTGGTAAGCCATGTGCATGTGCCCTTATACATTTGCTTGTATGTCCATAAAATTCGTGTCCGTTACTTCTTTCAATTATGTGTAAGGAGTTAAGTGGTCCTGCCTAAAAAACACACACAGTGGCAAAAAGAAAAAAGCCCGATGAAATGTATTAAAACTTGAGTTCATGTGGACGGGGTCCTGGGCGTGAGGGTGGTAGCTTAAACGAAAGGATTCTGAACCACAGCCTTGGGCAAGTCATGCATTTTTTCCCTCCAGTTTATACCAGCTACTGAAAGGGGATGACATTGTTGTCTACATACCTCTTCAAGGAAGGTCAAGACCAACTAGTAAACATCAGTGAAATACCAAGAAAGGAAAAAATGGCAAATGACATCCTTAAATTCCCTTAAATTTAAGATGGACAGAAGCCACTGAAATGCAGTGACTCCTAACATCAAATATACCCACCCCCCCGCCACCGAACTGGGTTTTACATTGGGTGGAACTGGCAAACAAGATTGAAACAGTAATTTGCAGAAGTCGAGGACTGGAAAGCAGCAGTGCAGGAGTTTGGAAGTTATCTGTAATGTGAAAGCCGTGGAGAAGCCCTAAGGCTGTGTTATGCAGTGCTGTGGGAAGCAGTTAAGTACAGGTTGCAGAGAACTTGGGACGAGGTGTGAACTAAACTGGTTCATCCAGCATTGGAGTGAGAGCTCTGAACTCAGGCCAAGGACATACTGCCACTTACTAGCTTGGTGACCTCGGGTAAGTCACTGAGCCCTACTTGCCTCATTTGTAAAATGTTTGCTCATTCTGGCTCTTTTCTTTTTAACTCATGTGGTTGGCAAGATAAGTTAGGGTGATGGGTATCAGGGGTGCTTTAGAAAAGATCACAAACTATCCCAGTGTCGGAGGGAATAATTGTTGCTGCTTGGGGTCGTGTCAGGTGACCTTTTCCACCAGTGACCTCTGGATACCTACCTGTCGGGCTCACTTTTCTTGGTCTTGTATGTTGACAGTGTGCTTTATAGGTCTTTGTGCCACCAGTTGAATAACCTTAGAGGTAGTTAAGAAATACTGACTTGTTTGTGCCCCTGTCTGGGAGGATCCCACATGCCGCGGAGCGGCTGGGCCCGTGAGCCATGGCCGCTGAGCCTGTGCGTCCGGAGCCTGTGCTCCGCAGCGGGAGAGGCCACAACAGTGAGAGGCCCGCGTACCGCAAGAAATAATCATAATAATTTTAAAAAGGGGAAATACTGACTAGCCTGGCAGAGAGAGATTAGTAAGTGTGCTGTTCTTTCTGATTCCAGACAGGGCGTTATAGAATTCTGATGGAATGATTTGGTTCGAGAGAAATATTTTTCTGTTCTAGGTCCTGACTCTGCTGGGTTAGTCTTTTCTCGAAGGATATATCGCCTCTCCTTCACCCTTTGTGTAGTGTTGGGTTAGATGCTACTTTTTACAGAGGGTTCTGTGAAGGTACGAACTTACATTTAACTAAGTTTTATGACTTCAGCTAGCAGTAGGTCTTTAGATGTTATTGTTAAGTCACTTTGGTCAGGACTTTGGTCAGGACTTTGGTGACCTCTGTGGTTATGAGTGTCGAGTTTCAGACATTTGTCATGTTTACTTGTTTTGTATTCAGATTGTATCTGCAGAGTTTGTTTTGAACGTAACATATAACAAGTAAAGCTCTTAAAGATTTATACAACTTCATCTTAAGAGGTGTACATGAGGGCAGGGGAGTCACAGGGGGTAGGAGACAGGTGCGGAGATCACCTCGTCATCTAGGCTTTCTTGGCTAGAGTGAGAAATCTGTATCCTTTATGACAGAGGGCTTGATTTGCCTTCCTTTGTGTTGGATGCCAGGGAACAGCGGTGGAGTTCTTTACCCTGGAGACCGTTCTTCCTGACTTCCCGCCTGGGAAGAGCCATTTGGGGTGAGCCCTCTGTCCCTGGAAGAGCCTTGGGCTGCCCTCCTCTGCCCGCTGACAGTGCAGTTAGCGCCTGGGAGCGGGCCTGGGAACTCTGCATTTGTTCTCGTCGAGACCAGCCGGCTCGTGATTTCGCACAAAGAGGTAGAGCGTATTCACGTCGTCGCCAAAGATGTGATTAGACGAGATATTGATTCTGAACTTCTGCCCTCTTCCCTCTGTTCAACTCTGTTCTTCCTTAGTGAGGTTCAGGCAGAAAATAAATGGAACAGAGAGAACTAGGCCACTGGCTTTTGATAAATATTGATCAGTGAGCATGTCAGATGTAGCAAAGGCCTGCCCCTTTGTATGATGTCACCCTGCATGGGGGTCTCAGTGTGGCCTGTGATCACTCCTGCGGGGACTTGCTTTCTCAGGGAAAGGTTAGAAAAGGAAAAGAATCCCTGTAGGCAGTATCCAAAAATAATGTAAGCATTTCTAAATGTGTTTCCTTGAAGTCGTTGATCCCTTTGGTTTTCAAGGCCATGCGGTGGCAGGAAGGGATGAGGTGAAGTGGTCAGCCTTGAATGACAAACTTCTGAGCAACGCTCGTCTCGGTTCCTCTCTCTTATCCACCTCTTCCCAGCTTGGGCCTCCACTGCCGTCTGTCTGTCTCTGCCCCGCCGCTCCCCGAGCCCCGTCACACGCACACCACATGCGTGTTCTTTCCCCCCCACAGTGCATGTCTGTGGCGTGGACAGTTGCATCTGTACTTGAGCCGCTCTAAGCCAGCACCTCCCTGTTGGGCCACACTGGGTGAGTGAGATGCTGTGACCTTGAGGGTCCTTCAGTCAAGTGAAGTGTGGCCCTGGTTTTTATCTTGACGTGCCTGGGTTGGTTCTGTGTAAGCAGCCAGCGATCCTGCTAATGGATCCCCTGGGACAGAGGGAAGAGGACAAAAGTGGATTTGCTGAACTCCTGTGGGACATTTGAAATGGTACCAAGAGGAGGCTGAAATGTAAATCAGCCCTTGCTTATCAGCCTGAGTTCCAGCATGTTAAAAGGGTGATGATTAGTAAGAAAAAGGCCAGGATACTTTATCTTTTCCTTTGCACGTTTGGGAAAAATTTCCTCTGCCCTGCTAGCATTAGAAGCAGACCATTCTTCCTCTACCATATCACATCAGCTTTCATTAAAAGTCACCAGCAGCAAATACAAAGCCCTGTCCACGGAAAACCGTTTAAGGCAACACTGTGCTCCAGCGCTTCAGGGGTGGGGTTTTGCCTTCTGCACAATGGGTCGGTTTCTCATATCCATGCCTTTCTGACCCAGCAGCTTTTAAAAGACCAAGAAACATTGCTCTGCTTTCTCCTGCCTCTCTCTCAGAGACCAGAGCTGCCATGCCTCTAGCCATGTCCCAGAGAGCATATTTGAAACAAGTCAGCTTAATTTGCCTGCATGCCTAGGACGCCTCTCTTTAAAATCTAATTTTGAGACAAGAGCTGTGTCTGAATATTTTGCTTTTCCCATGCAGGCGAGCGACGGAGGCGCCGGTGCCAGGTGGCGTTCAGCTACCTGCCCCAGAACGATGATGAGCTTGAGCTGAAAGTTGGCGACATCATAGAGGTGGTAGGAGAGGTACGTGTGCCAGGCGGGTGGGCGCGGTGGCCTCGCATGGGCTGTCAGAACCCACCCCTGGCTGGTTGGCCTTGCTGTGGGGGGCGTTAGAACTCAAGAGACCTTGGACATCACCTGGTTGAGTCTCTTCCAGAGGAAATTCCTCCAGAGAGGCCTTCCACCCAGCAGGGAAGGAAAAAGAAGTGGCATTTATTGTAGACCTAGTATGTGACAGGAGTGACAAGGTTCTTTACACATGAGCCCATTGACTCGTCGTAACCACTTTATTTTGCAGAAAAAGAAAGAGGCTCGAGGGACCCTAGAAGAGGCAGGGCTGAGGGTTGAAGCCAGGTCTACCAGGCTAGAGACCCTTGTTCTTTCCACTGCACTACATAACCTTGTTCCTGTGTGGTCCTGGCTGCTCAGAGCCAGCCCTGCTGGTGAAGTGTCCCACCAGACACTGGCACGGGCTTTTCAGGCTCCACTCCCTCAGGCCTGGGGGATCCTGGGCTTCGAACTTAGCATCTGATCATTCATTCTGATTCAACACATGTATCTGTATATAGAAATACAGTTTTCCAATTGCTTTGGTTTCCTGAGTACCATTCAACCTTACAGAAACCCACGATTTCCACCCCCCGAAAGAAAGGAAGCCAGAAGTCAAGGAGGAGGTTAAGGGTTAAGTGAACTATGGTGTGGGTAGAAGTGGCACTGCTGATGCTAGCAGCCAGGTTTCTTGACTCTCATATAAACATGAAGTGAGCATGCATCAAAGCTTTACTTAGCTCCCTAATGAGGGCACCTGCAAGATGGTAAGGCTGGCTCAAAGAGAACGGTGAAAGAGCCAAGTATTCATAATGACTGAAAGAGAAAAAAACTTGATTAAGATTGCTAAGTTAGATGCACAACTACATAGCGTCCTGCAGAGCAGTGAAACTGTAACCTCTGAGGTTATCTTTTCTAGGGGATGAATCTCTTGCATCTCTGCTGGTCAAAGTTTATTTTCATGGTTATCTGACAAGACTCATTTGTTTTGCTTTTGCTTTTCTACCGGTTAACATCTACACTAACAGAGTTGTAAACTATCTCATAAATAGTAAATAGTGTGTCAAGCAGATACCTGTCCCTAGAGAATCAATTAATGGGGTTCCCAGTGTGATACTGGGAGGACATGCAGTAGCCCCTTTTGCCTATTTCCCAGCTTTGGATAATTTGTATTAGTATGTCATTCATTCATCATTTTTTTTTGTTCCTGGTGCCAAGCAGGGCACATAGGAGACATTTGTTGAAAGCTGAATGAGTTAAAAATGAATGCACAGCAGAGTAGAACGTTTGTGCCAGTGGTAGAAGGGCACAGTTCATGAGACTGACACCATGGAAGAAATTCCAGAGGAAAAAATAAACAGTTGTGACTAAAAATAAAAGAGAGTTAAAATTTTGGTATGATTTGAAGAAAGTTTAGCTAAACAAAGAGGACAACAAACAGGAAAAAAATTTGCAATAAATTAAGATGAAAAGTTATTATATATGTAACATATGAAAATATTTTAGAAAGCTACTATAATAATGATAAAGTATAGATAGATCTGCTATAAACACACATCCCACAAGGGGAAATAAAAATCTTAACCATGAGAAAATGTTCTGCCCTGCTATTAATTAATCAAATTAAGACAATAATGGGTACCTCCTTTTGAAACTCCTAAAACAGATTCAGTGGTAAGACTTGGCAATGCTTAGAAGAACTGGTGACTTTGTATATCTCTATGATCCTTGTATGAAGCTACTTAACAAGCACATCAATAGCTATACAAATCTGAATTAATACCCTTTGACTCAGTAATCTTACGCCTAGGAATTTATCCATGGAAATGGTCAACAGAAAAAAAATATGTGCAACATGTTAATTGCAGCAATGCTTGTGATAATGAAAAGTCATCAAGAAAGGGAATAGTTGTGTGAATTAAGTTATATTATCCAGCTAGAAGATCGTGAAGCCATTAATATGGTAAACGCAGAGGCCTTTAAATCTGTATTTATTACAATACTGTGCGTTGTAATTATGTTACATTCCACTAACCTGAGAGCTTTTCAACAGTAGGGATCTGGTTTTTATCTATCTTTATATTCATAGTACCTGGAATAGTGCCTGAAACCTAACATATACTTTAATAAATGCTTATTGAATAAGTAAATGAATAAATGGAAGTATGAAAAGTTTTTTTTCCAAAATAAATGAATATATCAGCCACAGATTTGCATACAGTAGGATACAGTCATCTAAAATCTATCTTTGTGCATGTGATCAAAAATGGAAAGGGACCCAGAGTTGAAAATGGTTCTGTCATAGAAGATGATTTTTCCTTTAATGTTGTAATAATATTTTAAGAAATACAAATTAAGGTGAGGAAAATTATTAACAAATTTCTGGGAAATATTGCCCATTCTCAACTGCCTGTTGGCTCCAGGGAAACCGAACGAGGGTCGCTAAAGGAGAGGAATGATTGCAGGGCTGTTATTCTCCTTGCCTGGGAGAAGAGCTTCACCACCATCCACGGTCCCCGCCTCCTTTCCATCCCTGCCAGCTCTGTGCTAGGCTTCATTCTGGGCTTGCTTCAAGCAGGAAAAAGGAAAATTAACTGTGTAGCCTATGCTATTTGTGTAAAACAAAACATAAAGGTTTACCTTTTAATCCATATTTTTTAAATTATATCATCAAAAATTAATTTCCCTATTGTTGAAATTTACTTGTCATATTGCAGATTCTGGGCCATTGTCACTGTATAATATACAATCTGCCCTTTTCTCTTATAATGGGTGTTATATAAATGCCATTGAGTAGCTATTGTCTAATTCCACAGAAGACTAAAAACAAAATAAACAAAAATCCCAAATAAACAAAAACCCTTAAATCACAGGAGCAGGTTGAGATAAGACGATAGTAATAGCTTTGCAATACTATAGAATCAATCTATTGGTCAATAAAAATATAGCATATTGTATTGTGTAGGTGTGTACATATTGGGTTTTATTGGTTGATTAATAGACTAATTCTACAGTATTCCAAAGCTGTACACACACAAATGCCCATACTCCCTCCCACCCCAAGAGACAATTCCTAGGAAGATTTTGAATGTATGGACTGGTTTTTTAGAACAGTTGAATGAAGTAGAGAATCCTAAAAAATGATATACATATATCTTGACATGTAATCTTAGCTTAAAATATAAAAATGTATATTTGTCTGCCATTTGTCAACACAGCCTCGTAGAGCCAGGGCATTTCCCTTAACTATGGGTTTACTGGTTTGAGTTATATCTTCTCTGCATCCATGATGCATCCTCTGCTATTCCCACTGGTTTCTTTAAAGTGGATTGAGGACAACATAAGTGAAACAATCAGGGTTAATAATTCTTCTAAAATTCTACACTCCCTCACCCCTAACCTCTTTTAGTTGTCTTTTTCTACACCTATTTTGGCACCGTTTTTTTTTTTTTAAACCTTCAAATTATTATCCTATTCCTTCTCACCACTAGCTTTTTCTCTTCAAACCTACATATTCTGTACTCTTTAACCAAATTGTGTGCTAGCAGGAAGAGCAGTGGACGGAAACAGGTTTGGGTGGACACGGCCCTGACCCTTGGTAGGGCGAACAGCCCTTCTGGCAGAAGTTAGCATCTCAGCTTGGATGGGTCTCTGCAGCGTGGCTAGAGGAGAAATGGATAGTGTGGGGCGGTCCAGGGATGAGTGGGGTGGGTGAGCAAAGTGAAGGTCGCTTAGGAAGCGCTCACCACACTTCTGCCTCCTGGCTGGTCTTCAGGGAGAAAAAAAAAGTCACTCGGCACTTAATGGGACTGGGCTGCCAATCCAAAAGGAAAGCTAACAGGCTAAATCCCCGGTAGGCATTTTTAAGGAAATCATTGTAAATACACACTTGTGACATTTTTGTCCAGCGTGGGGAGGATTGATCAATGCAGGCGAAGTTCTAATGATAAGAACAGAGATGGCACATGGACAGGGTTACCAGGAGAAGTGGCATTTGAGGGCCGCTGAAGCTTTGAAACTGGCTTGCTGGCCTATTTTTGGGGTTTGGTTTTTGTTTTAAAGTGCTTTGAAACCTCTTTGTTTTCCTATCTATGTTATCTAGAGCCTGGGTAAGGCGCTGCATTTCCTCTTGTGCTAGATGAGCTTGGTCTCATCCAGTCTCTCCTCGTGGTGGCCCAAGGGGTGTTCAGAGATTCTGGCTGTTATTTGTTCTTTGTGGTTAGTTTCTGAGGTATTTCCCAGTGGTCCCCAGTCAGGCTGGCTAGATACTGAAGGCTTCACTTTCTGACTTAGAGCTTAACTTGGCCTTGTCATTTGCAAAGAAAGGTCACTTGCATTTCCTAGAAACTTAGGCATCTTACTTCTTGTGCCATGGAGAGAGATTTGGTTCTCTCAGCAGGAGTTAAAGACGCCCTTGAAATTCTTCAAAACTTTTAACTCAATCAGACAACTTCTGTGGGTGTGGATGGGCAATTTATCCTCATTTCATTTTTGGTGTAAGAACTCTGAGGACTCGCATGTGCAAAAGGAGGCCTTTTTATTTTGTGCTTGCCCAAAACTTGACGGGAAAGTCAAGTTCCTTTAAAAGCTGATTAATTAATAGGTGATCAAAGCATACCTAAATTCTTACCCATTAAGGCACCCTTTGCTTTAGAAGGGTTTGTATCCCTTTTCAAAAAAAGATAACATTAATGTAAGATTTTTTAAATTGTAATTTGATGATCTAAAGAGCCCAGGATGCTCTACAGTTATTTTCCCAAATAACTTTGGGGTGTACATCTCTGATTTCCTAATGCACAGAGATGGTAGAACGTTCATATTAAGGAGGGGGAAGCCACGTTTAGAAGCAACGATGATTAGATTACAATCATTGGCATACAAAACAGGCGACGACCACATAAAAGTAACATCTTTGCAAGTTTAAATGTATTTATAATAGATTGGCATAGCTATGGGAATTATCAACTATTTGGGTG